AGTTTATTGTGTATTTTTAGGTGGATGGTCAGTGCCATTGTAAAGCAGGCTATGGTGGACCGCGCTGTTGTGAGTGTGAAAATGGTTATTGGGGATACCCGTCTGAGAGTTGTAATCGTAAGTACATACTTTAATTGTAATGTAACATCAGTCGTGGTGTTCAAAAACATAGAAAACACTTGATTTAGCATAGGAAATGTTGTCGAAATGGTTGATGGGATGTAGGAGAAACCGAAATGGTTGATGGGATTGAGTAGAAACCGAAATGGATGATGGGATGTAGGAGAAACCGAAATGGATGATGGGATGTAGGAGAAACCGAAATGGATGATGGGATCGTAGGAGAAACCGAAATGGTTGATGGGATTGAGTAGAAACCGAAATGGATGATGGGATCGTAGGAGAAACCGAAATGGATGATGGGATCGTAGGAGAAACCAAAATGGATGATGGGATGGTAGGAAGAAGCCAAATTTACGATGGGATATAAGTGGAAACGAAATGGTTAATTGGATATATATAAAAAAAACGGGAAATGGACGATGGGCTATAAGTTGGACCGAAGTGGATGACGGGATAAATTAGAACAAAAGTTCATCAAATTTCAATACAAAATGTTATGTGAATAGTCTTTGATTTCAGTTGGGTGTTTTGTGTGACAGTATTATTTGGTTATCAATATATTATCAATTTCTTTATCGTGCAGCTTGTGACTGTAATCCCGCGGGATCCATCGATCTTCAGTGTAATCGAGACACTGGTGTCTGTCAGTGTAAAGTTGGTCACGTGGGGCCCAAATGTGATATGTGCGCTGTCGACACCACAGAAAAGATGCCCAAGTGTGAAATCTGTGGGGAGTGCTACTATTCATGGAAGGGCACTTTGGCGGACCTTTCTAAAAACGTGACGTTCGTTGTAGGACAGGCGTCCAATTTGTCTGTATCTGGATCAGGTACCTAAAGTATATTATAACGTTATTGTACACCTTATTGAAAATACGTTGACAGAGAGGAATCAAACATTTGTACTTCAGTAACAAGAATGTATTAAAAAAGATCACTTACCTTTTTCTGCAGGTGGAGGCATCTATGCCTACGACAAGGAACTCGCCTCTCTTGCTAAGAAACTACAGCGTGTTCGTGAAATCCTCGACTCCCAAGTAACCGACGAAAATTCTACGAGTAAAATCGAATCAGAACTYGTTATGATCGACAAACGATTAATGTATGTCGCGAATGTTACCGAACTTGTCACGAAGAGYGTCGAGGGTACAACGAATAGAACATCGGCAGCCAACAGTGAGATTGATCGTTTACGAAAAATGCTCGAAGAATTGCTCAAAAAGGGKGATAATTTGAAAAAAGAAATAACATCCATTAGAGAGAAAGAGTTCACCGGAGCCTTTGATAGCATCAAAGAGAACCAGCGACGGTCAAGAGCAGCTGAAGCGMAGGTCAACGGATCTTTAGACAACATTGATAAAGCATCAAAGAATCGAAAACACATTGAATCAGYCCTTGACGGGCCTCCATCATTCAACGACACCCACCAAAACAATAGAATCTCGCTCGACGATATWTTYCGCAGAATCCGCATTCTCACCAACCAGTCTGAAATGTTAAGCGCAATGGTTTGTGGGACACCACGGGATAAGTGTGGATGTATCGAAGAGGACTGTAGTTCTTGTGGAGGTCCCGGATGTAATGGGACTCGAAGCCTGGCTATGGATGCTGTGGTTATGGCCATGAAAGCAGAGGAGGCTTTGCGAATGAAAGAAGGTAAAATTTGTCAATGACCGCACCCCTCCCCCCCCCCTTATTCCCATCCTCCTCAAATTGGCGGGCACTTAGTGATGATTAACGAGTACTTTCATGCAATTGATAACCTGAATAATTCTTAATATCATAGCCTCATCCAATAATTCTTCATATTATGTTCATCCTCATCCAATAACTCCTAATATCATACTCAGACTCATCATTATTTTTTTATCAGCCAAAGCCAACGCTACCCTTGAACAAGCAAGACACGCCGARATGAAAGTCAATATGTCACGTGACGCTGCTATGATGTCATTGGAACGTGCACAGGAAGCCCATAAACAGGCACRAAATGCRAGCATGAGAATGGACCATCTCATTGAGGTATTCCCTATACTACAATCRCAAAATTCGAAAAAACCGTGCATATACTGAAAAAATAAATAGTTTGTCCCATTTTTAACTGACTTGACCACATGTTATAGGACATCCTAAAGTTCTTAGCCATGCCGCTGCCAGACACATCTAACGCAAGACAAAACGTTGAGAGAATTTTGAACATGTCGCTAACCGTTGGACCAGAACAAATCCAGAAGTTGGCGGAAGATATCAAGAAAGCCTTGAAGTCAATCAAAGGTATCGACGAAATCTTAGAACAGACAAAAGGGAATCTTAGCAGAGCTGACGATCTTAAATCAAGGGCTGAGAAAGCAAGGTATGTTTTGGAAGAAAGGAGATGCTTTGTAGTCTCTCCAGCAGCCGATGTCAGTGTTCCGCTGCAAGCGGCTGCGAAGGAGACTAAGTTTTTCGATATATGTCTTGTATGAAACCGACTGTTCAATCATTTCAGAGACAAAGCACTCGGTGTACAGAATATCATAAAGAACGTCACACAAGCCTTGAATATGACCGCTACAGCGCAACAGAAAGCAACTGCCGCCATTAACGAAGCTAACGCCGACACTGATAAAGCTGAAGAAATTGTTAAAAAGGTGCCAYAAATATACTTAAGATAAAAATAAGATTGGGAGGGAAGCCATTAAGAAAGGGTGAGAGAGGTGGCTGTTTTGAGTGGTGCKCAAGGCATCAAGGGTAGKGTGTAAGAAAGTCTCTCTTTCCCATCAACCTATCCAAGCGCAGTGAAAAAAGGATAACGGACTGGGTGCTAATGTGAAGGGAGGGAGGGATTATGAAAAGAACAAGGAAAGAATTGATAGATAATTGTATGAAAGGAAGAACTGGATGAATCAACCGAATCATCAAGTATCGGTTCAATAAAACTTCTCTCGGCTCAGAAATTAATCATCAATCACTAATAACTTATAATATAATCAAGCACTAATAACTTAAAATATATATCTATCAACCAGCTTTTCCCGTCCATTGACGAACTAGAAAAGAAGGTAGGCGAAGCTGAAAAYTCGACCAAGCAAACTAAAGAAGACCTTGTCCCGATWAAWGCTGAATTCGACGAGAATGCTAAGAATCTAGCGATGGCAGAGGACACTACTAGAGCGGCTCACAACGAGTCCAACCAAGCTCTATATGTAAGTCGATTTACAGAGGAAATTGAAGCACTCTGATTAATAGTTATAGTGCCATTGATAATGTTGATGTCGTTATTGTTGTTGTTGTTGTTGTCATTGTCGTTGCTTGTAACTGTTTTGATGTTGTGTTGYTGTCTCTTTTCTTGTTGTCGTCTTTGTCAGTGAAATCGTCGCCTTCGCTTTTGGTCGTCGACCCTGTGCAGCCTTTGTCGGGGCCTTCTTCGCTGTTGCTTTGCCATTGTTGGCGTAGCTGTCATTTRTTATTCAGCTCAGTATCAATAAAAACATTTAATTTTCATTCATTTGTTTATTRTAGGAAGCAGAACGACTGAAAAAGCTWTTTGAACAAGCAAGAGGCAAAATAGAGGGCAAAGTTGGTGARGTCAGGAACGCAACTGAAAGAGTGAAGATTTTTAAGAGAAAAGCTGGTCGATTGAGAGATAACCTAGTTAACAAGATCATTCGAATGAACGGTATGGTATTCCTTATTATGGTCATCATTGCTATCATAACCATTTTCCTTATATCTAACTTCGTTACTTGTGACAAGTAAATGCTCTCCGTGACACGCTTATTATAGAAAGTGACGTCATACTTCTCATAAAATGACGTAATGATGACGTCATAATACGTATTTCATTATATAGAAAGTTACACCGATGATAAAAGTGACGTTATTCTTACCATAAAATGACGTAATGATGAAGTCACATACTATATGCAAAAAATTATTATGAAAACTAAAGAAAATTTTTTAAATTCCTTTACAGAAATAGAAAAGGAAGTTGTTGAGTACGATGATTTGATCGACAAACTCAGAAAACTTCGTGATCGGATGAAAAGAATGAGAGCCCGACTACAGAGAAAGGTGGATTATATCAATGGCTGCAATCCCGCTACAGACCCTCTTGCTCCAGAGTAACTCGTTAACTTTAACTCGTTTAACAAGCATTCTTCAACTCCATGGCTACAAGCTACAAGAACTCTATGTTTTTCACTGTCTTAGGAGTTAGGAATTTCTTAGAAAACTGCGGATGTTCTATCTTGATGGCCAGTCTAACGCACTTAAAGAAAAGTTCTTTTTATATAGAATGAATATCCGAATATCGGCGAAAAAAGTCGAAACCTGGTRAAATTCTGTCGAGATTCTTGCTGCAAAGTTTCCGTATCAATTTATGTTATATGGCATATGACACATTTTGGACATTATCACTGCTTTTTCAGTGAATAGAGCCTCGCAAATATTTCTTGTGAATGTTTTGTTTTGTTTTCTGTCTGTTTGTAAACTGTTAGATTTTGATGTTGCTTTGACAACCAATGACGTCATTTTTGAAAGAAAACAATTTCAAATTTGATTGACCAGTAAAAAAGGTTCGTGCTGTTAGAGTTTAATGTAAACATTTCTTTTYAGACCTACTATTGAATATAGATTTTTATTAGCAAATTAATAATAGAGTTTTTTCGCATCAAATCCGTGAACATCAACTAGAGTTAAATATTGCAATGTGCTGGGTCGTTTAGTTCTTAACAGTGTTTTTTCACACTGTGAATAACGTAGTTTATATATTATGCATGTTTTAATCAAAGTCCGAAGGAATCACCTTTTACTTTAGCTTTCACGGATTTAGCGCAAAAAACTCTACAAATTATGAACAGCGATGAGCTTGTTATAAATGAATTATATTAATTACATGGATTATACATATATTATTATATCAATGTTATATATGTTTATATAAGGGGTTGATGTGTGTTCCAGTTCAGTCCTAGCTTATATATTAGAATTTAGAATTTATAAGCTTGTTGGTGACGTCATGGCTGGGAGTCCTGGAAATAGATTGTATCTTTGTAGTCACATTTTCAGCTAGCTAGTCTTTACATATATAGAATAATAAACTGTTTTTAATGTGAAAAATGACTTTGCTTTTGCATGGATTAATAATAAGTTGTATGGAGGWTTAAAAAATTGAAAACTTCGAAGATATTGTATATTTTGGGTTCCCTGTGTCGAAGCTCGCTAAGYTGACTGGGAAGACTTGGACATTATGCTCAGTCACAGGTGATTGTCACGCGACCATTCTATGTTTTCTTCCAAATTTCCTTAAAATGCAGYATCTTAACCTTTCAAAGGTGGTGGGATCTCCTATTTCAAGCTAATAGCAAAGACATCATGTCTACCAAAATAGTCAYGAAGCTGTTGGAACTTATTTTCGTGATCACATGTTGACATAATAGCTCGCTGCTTCCTTCGAATCGTAACGCCGCTTTTGTAATTGTTCTCCGTTTTTCGTCATGTTTCTACTGAATGAAAGTCCTACCAACTCTACCAAACCTGAAAAGAAGATTAAAGAAGAYTGGTGTAATAGAATATTGTATGAAACAATTAGTGGCAAGTAAGTAAGTCGTTAACTTTTTACATGTAAAGATAAATTAAAGCTTATAGACTTTTCCGTAAGCACTTCGAATTCATTATGCTAATTATAGTCAACTGCATTGCTTGCTTCTATCTATTGTTTATCCTAGCCAATTTATAAGCAAAAAATTGTCAATGGTTTAGGACATCTTACATAAGATAATCCAATTTGATCTTCTWATGGCAGGTCTTGTAAGAATTTGTTGGTTTCGTGAATAAAATGAATATGGAAATATTTCATTTTCCTTATCAATGATCAATAACTGAATGTTTCATTATTAAACATTCATTACTTTTTTGATAGTAATAATCTTACATTTTAATACCTTAATAATAATCTTATCTTGCATTAATGTATTAAAGTACATAGTCTTATATAATTTAATGTATTTTATTTTTATTATATTATAGATATGTCTTGCCTGCATGATTGGTTTCTTGTCATTTTTATTGTTCTTGTCGTTTTTCGCTTTTGTTTTAATATTTTTTAACCTTGTGAATGCATTCATGCAATAATTATTGCCTGCTTTTCAATGAGAGGCATTGGCTGTCTAAATTRTYGGGCTGTTAATATCCCTTTTCTCATCTTTTTCTAGGATTCGTATWCTGGATATCATTCTTCTGGTCCCCAATGCAATATTCTTAATATTTCTGTTCTATGGACTATCTGTTGCACATACAAAGTTTTCAAGAGTCAGAACACCAATTGTCAGGACAATCTATTCACTTGTACGTAATAAACCTCAGGGTCTCAGTAGAAGCTGGCAGCTGGCAAAAATTACCTACTATATCCTAGTTAATCGCCCGCTACTTACAAATTTATTCACGAATATTTCTTTGGTTTCATGAATTCTACTTTAATTTTTACTGAAAACCTTGGGAGAGTGGGGGATCCCTTATAAAAGTTGGTAGGTATGCAAGGTGGACAGATTGAAAAATGACCCTAAAAGGTATGCATAAATTAATTCAGGTATCGATTCCAGACCCTAAAAGGTACGACCATTTTTGACGTCTTAAACAAGAGAAAAGCTCAAGTTTAAAAAAACTGTAGAAAATCAATGTTGATAGATTGATGACTGTTGTTGAGGTTAATAAAATCTATTTCTTTATAACACTTCTTAAATTTTTTTCATGTTGTTTTAAAATTGACCCTTAAAGGTACGGAGTCAGCTCAGGACCCTAAAAGGTACGCGAGGGTTTTATTTTCAACCCTAAAAGGTCCGTTGAGCATACCTGCCAACTTTTATAAGGGAGTTCCCCACCCGGGCTGAAAACCCTGAAACCTTATAAGTAATATATACAATATGAGCGGGCGATCTGTATGAGGATTTAAAACAGCGAGCTGAAAGCGAGCTGTTTTAAACCTCATGCAGATCGCACGCGAATATTGTATATTACTTATGAAACGTTAAAGGTAAATTAGCTCAGGTTTTAAAGAAACTTTTGAAAAAAAATTCAATCTGACTGAGAAAATCAGAGTAAAAGTTTATGCAAATGAACAAGAAATCTGTATGTAATATACAACTCTCTTCATGGGCTATGATTTCTATTGTGTTTTGCCTTATGAATATTAATGAGTTWTATAAGTTTTATGCATGCACCTATTCCAAATTCACAGAATGGTATACATGTATTGTTATTCAACTCAGGTATTTGCTGACAGCATGACTGGGGTTTTGAAAAGCTTCATTAGTATGTTCTTGACAATACATTTTGTGGAGGACCAGAAAAATAATGTGGCCATTGAGGTATAATGTTTTATAATGTAATAAGAAACATAACTAATAATTATTATTCCCCTTTGTGATAACATAGTGACTTTTTGCAACCAAATAACAACACCAGTCTCTCATATTGATACTTTGCTGATAAACAAACGGCTTCCTGGAAWATGGATGAATCCTAAGCATTGACTTAAACAAACCATCACAGSAAAAGCTAAAAATAATTGTCATTAGTCATTATACCATACCCATAWCCTAAGTATCCTTTAGCATTCATAATAGTAATTTTCAATATTGTTCATTTGTTAGCATATTATTTAAAGCCATTTTCAAACTTTTACCATCAGGTTTTATGGCTTGCGTGGAGATGTTTTGTTCTTGGWGTTGAACTCTGTGTAATTATTTTTGCACTCTTTTCAGGTAAAGCAATGACTATAACTGTGTAACACTATCATTTATTGGATATTCAAACTGCTTAACTAAAGTAACATGGTTGATGTTTCAGTTGATAACAGGTTTGGAGTTAGAAGAGTCATCTTGGTATCGGCATTAGTAGCTGTTATTTTTACTGCAACACAGGTAAATTTTACTGATATTCAGGTAATGCTTGTCTATGTAATTCTTCTTGTCTTCTTTATAAAGTAATTATATTTTCTACTTTGTTTTTGTGCAGGCATTCTTAGAATTTCAGACCAAAAAAGATGATATATATGGTGGAAAATATGCRCTCTTTCAACATGGAGGAATGATGTTCTGGTTTATAAGTTCTGTTGTTTTTGGAACTGTAAGTATTCCACCTTATATCAGAAGCTTGTTTTCATAAACTGTTGCTGGTAATAAATAATTTGTGTGTTGACTTGTCCATTGATAATGCATAAAACATTTAAGATTGATTAACTTTATATCCTAGGTTTATTGTCTGATTGTAATTTTACCTTTTACAAGACTCAGGGAGTACCGTATATTCCCAGGTATGCATGTTGTTCTCTCGTCTTTCCTTTGTTTTTATCATGTTTTATTTGTGCATTGTCTTGTTTATTTACCCATCTATTGGTCATTTGTCATTCACCTGCTTGGCACTTGTCCATCCAGTCAGTTTTCCTTTCCATCCATGCATTTATTCATCCATCTTGCCCCAGTTATTCCTTCTTTCCCAACCGTTCCTTCTTTCCCAGCTGTTCCTTCTTTCCCACCAGCCATTCCTTCTTTCCCAGCCGTTCATTCTTTCCCAGCCATTCCTTCTTTCCCAGCCGTTCCTTCTTTCCCACCAGCCATTCCTTCTTTCCAAGCCATTCCTTCTTTCCCAGCCGTTTCTTCTCTCCCAGTCGTTCCTTCTTTCTCAGGCGTTCATTTTTTCCCAGTTGTTCATTCCTTCCCAGCTGTTCTTTCCTTCCCACCTATTCATTCTTTCCCAGCCGTTTATTCTTTCCCAGCCGTTCATTTTTTCACAGCCCTTTATTCTTTCCCAGTCATTCATTCATCATTTTATTCATCCATTCTTTCATTCCTATTTTTTTTTCAGCCAAAAAGTCCTTCTACTGGTATTGTGGAGTTTTATCTGTTGTGAATATTCTTCAAAGCATTGGTAGTGGTCTAGTGGCTTTTGCTAAAAAATCAGTTGGAGTATGGTAAGATATGTGTTACCATTTAGACTTATGCCTGGCTACCTTGGAAGCCCAAGAAAAGGGTAGGCTGGCTATTTCAATTCCAAATCACACTCCATACACAGAGAGCTTACTAGAGAWTAGTATTCCAGAATGACTTAAGGCYGATTTAGACGACACAACTTTTCCCTACAACTATCGCATGCGACCTGCGTAAGTCATCCTAACAACATGGCTACAACTGTTGTGAGGCTATTAAGCAATTGTTTAAAATCCCTACGACAGTTGTAGCCATGTCGTAAGGATGACTTACGCAGGTTGCATGCGATGGTTGTAAGCAAAAGTTGTGCCGTCTAAATCGGCCTTTACAGGGAATAGAATTTATATCATGAAAAATTAGGGCTTGAGCAGTTTAAAAGTAGTGTGCATTAGAATTGTTGGGTTAAAGCTCCAGTCCAGTCAGGTTTCTATTATCTGAGCTCAGCTCAAGTGTTTCCACTTTTACAAAGAGTTGTGCCAATATCTTTTGCTTGTTGTTTCAGTCTTGTTGACTTCACAAGTATCTGCTATTTTGCACTGTTTGCTCCGTTGGTGTACTGCGTGTTTCTCTCAGATTTTCTTGGAAGGTAGGTACAGAAGTCCAATGTTTATGGTATATACAATGTCCATTAAAGGGCTACTTGGACGAAAATTGCGAAACATTAGAAAAGACTTGGAAATCAAATAGAACTATCCATATGGGTCTAATAATCATGAAGCAACAGATTTTAAGAAGATATTGATACAAATCTTTAATAATTTGGGCAAAAAATGTTGGAGTAGATGAMGTCATTTRCTCCATCCTTTTGYTCTTCCATCTTTTGAATCAAAATTTCTCTGATGTGAGACAATTCCAAAACAAATATTTTCCCRYAATTGTTTTTAATAGATATATGTGAGTCATATATTTGTATTGCTTTAGTTTTGAAATAAGACCATTTTCATGCAAGTAGCACTTTAAGTTRAGATACATTTTAGTCTTCATTCCATAGTGGATTTTGTTTTCTTAGTAACACAGATTACTTGTTAACAACACAATCGAACACATCAGAGACATACCAACCAATYCCRGACAAGCTTCTTGAAGGGCACAATGGCACTGAYGGSGATTCTGATAGTGACGATGATGATGATTATGTACCTAAGTATACTCAATATGGGGCAATTTCATGATGTAGCGCATATCCATATAGAAGTGGAAGTGAATTAGAACAAAGAAGAAGTGAAGTAGATTACGAACAAACCATTGAACTGAGGCATCAAGGAAAACTTTCTTTTCTTTTGTATACTTGCCGTAACTTGATGCCTCATTTCATTGCTTTGTTCATGGTCAATGAACTGTGTATGGAATTCAGTCAGCTCTAGTTATTACGGACAATCTATAGGGACCGTAATTTAGTGTCTGCAGTAGTGAGAGTCTGTAGTAACGGGTCAGTTACTTTCAGACATTTCTTCAAATTTTTCAGTATTTCAGTATAATTTCCTCTCCGCAATATTGAGGTGTCTGTTATACGGGGTGACCGCAAGGCAAGAGTTGACTGTTTCATGAATTTTGTAGATAGATTGAAAGCCTGGTCATTAACTTTTAGGGAATAGTAGTTACATTTAAACAGTGTTACACAAAATGGGTTGTCACATATATTATATCTTTTCCTTTGATAGAAATTTTAGTTCACTTGCCTCGATGGTCACCTAGTCCCCAGCTATTATATGTGAATTCGCCAAAACTGATTGTAAACACTCGCACTAAGAAACTCTATAGGGGAACGAGTAAGGACTGTATTAATGCACCAAAATATCAAGTTAGATATCATTCCCAAAATAGAAATTGTATTATAGCATTACCTAGACTAACTTTTTTACAATATGCCTGTCATTTGGCATTGTTGATGGGAAGTCCAGGGTGCATTTCAACTGAACACTGACTTAGATAACATTTTTATTGTTCAATAACRATCAATTTGAACCTTCGAAAACCTAATTGAAACCTCAAAACAGAATGTMTTTTCAAGTAGATTGTACCTGCAATTCTTGATTAGCTTACTTTAACTATGGACTTGTAAACTTAACACAACAATGTCAAATGGCAATAAATGTTCAAATGTAGGCGTGCTGTAGACATGACTTCAAATATATATTCTCAATCTGTTTAGGATGATTAATACAATATCTTTGTCCATTTAGTATAAAGGGATAATGAAGATTAAATTATACATTATCATATTAAAATATAACCAAGTCCTCAAAAGAGATGATACTCTTGATCCTTGGTCTTCTTAACCAGGTATGAAGGAAATATTTCCAATATTAAAATGAGAATTAAACTTACAATCAATATAGAAAGTGCTATTTCATAGCACATGTTTTAAATGTAAATTAAATATACTATTACTTTTCAGAAACTTATTTTAATAAAAATCATAGAAAATTGCAATATTTTTTAATAAACAATCAATAAAAAACTCCATCGATTTTTTGATCAAAATCAACAAAAACCATCCCTTTTTTTAAATCATTAGGCTATAGTCAACCAAAATGGCCAAAAATGACCAATTTTTGATCAAAAAGCATGGGCTATAGCCCACCAAAATGGCCAAAAATGACCGACATTTGATCAAAATGCATGGGCTATAGCCCACCAAAATGGCCAAAAATGACCGATTTTTGATCAAAAAGCATGGGCTATAGCCCACCAAAATGGCCAAAAATGACCGATTTTTGATCAAAA